TAAACTCTAACGTTTCAAAACATATATGTGGTGCCTGATTTCTTGCTTTCACGTGGGTGGGCTTTCTTGCGTTTTGACGAAGAAAGGAGAGAAAAATTATACATCTAAAATTTATTTTTAAAAAATTATTTTTAATTTTTTTAACAAAATTTAAATTTATGAAATATAAATAATACTTTTAAAATAAATGTTTTTTAAACTCTAACGTTTCAAAACATATATGTGGTGCCTGATTTCTTGCTTTCACGTGGGTGGGCTTTCTTGCGTTTTGACGAAGAAAGGAGAGAAAAGATGATGAGACAAAGACAAAAGGATTTGTTTGAAGGCGTTGAGGATTGAGGCTTTTTCTTTTCTTTCAACAAATCAAAGCATCGACAAGAGCTTCTTAACGCCTTCTTTGCTTTTGGGAAGTATCCCAAGTTGCTTTTGCGATCTTAAATTCTTTCCCAGGATTAAAAATCATATTTCTGTTTTCGTAAATAGTTGTCTAGATCAACAAAAAAAATTGGTAGCCTGATTTGCAAAAAGATTATCGAATTCCATATATTAATGCTCCTTATTTTTGGTGACACATTTCATTAGTCTCTTGAGATAATATTCATTGTGCATTGTTTATGAAATTTCCTTGTTATATCTTTTCTTCATGTCCTTTTATGATGAAAAAAAAAGGGCATATTGTACACTTGACCCGATCGATAGACCCATGTGCAGGGGGTGGAGGAGGGTCTAGTGTTCAATGCATTGGACCCTCCAAAAAAGAAATATTAATCAGGAAATTGTAAACAAGAAGAAGATAAGCAAAGAGAGAAAAGAAGCAGATGAGGTAATGAGGCAAGTAGGAACACACTTGGTCCATATTAAGCAACAAGCTACATCGAAACTCCATGCTCCACACATGACATGAGCTAGGTGCCAAGTGCCAATCCTTTGGTCTTTGGGACCGCATGATCATATATATGCATGCATGCACAGTCACCTACATTTATTTGGGTCCTCGATCGTACCATGATATTTTCTTTATTTTGGTTAGGCAAGAAAGCATTTTGTCTTTTTTAAAAAGAAAATTTTAAGTGTGATTTCATATTTTTATTAAAAGAGTGGTTTAATGTTTAGTGATTCCTTAAATAATAGTTGCAGACCCTTTAATTTACGAATTAATGTTAATTAGATTGTAAAATATAGTATTTTATATTTATTCACTTCAATACTAGTATAATAATAAACCAATAATGAAATTGACATTTTTGCTATTCATGACGTCCCGAAGGCAGTAAAATTCTTCCCACATTTTAGAGGGGAAAAATTTTCAAACTTTTAGTTCATTGGTAGTTTTCTTTAACTCCCACTGGTTAAGACAAGGAACAGACTAGAGAGACATGTGAAACCTTACGTACACCAACTGATCATCGAGGGTCCACTAGCCATTATGTGGTGGTGCCGGCCAGGCCGGCCTTAATTCAAGAAATATATATATATATATATATATGTGTGTGTATGGGGGGGCTTTGGTTAAAGTCTAAACCCCTCCTATCCCCTTTTGTACTGCCTCCAAAGGACATGTTTTTAATTATCACATATCTTCCTTTGATCCTTTTTCCTTATGTAAAATGATACTGTTGGTACTAAACTAAACAATACAAGAGTGTACGTTGATTAATTAGGATATGGGCCTTCAGTTCATCCCTCGTCTCCATCACGATGGATTTTGACAGCATTACGAGGTTCAATTTTTTCCATAACCTCACTTGAAACAGTTGCTTGAATTCAGTCCATTCTTCGCCTCCATCACCATGGATTTTGACAGCACGTTATGAGGTGCAATTTTTTCCATAACCTCCATAACCTCACTTGAAACAGTTGCTTGAACCTCTCCACCAAATACCAAAAGCATGTTTCCCATAGAAAATGATGGAATTGAGAGGTTACATAAGGTATTATATAATGGAGGTAAATTTCACCTTGTCTCTGACAACAAAGTTTCAGGAAAGATGCCACAATACAGGAAACATATAATATTAACATAAGAGTTTTTTATTTTATAAATTAAATTGTATTGAATTATAAAATAAAAATAATTATAAAAAAAATCTATAATATTGTATAACTTGTTTTTATTTAATAATTTAAAAAAAAATTTAATTGCATAATAAAAGATAATTATTTTTTATCTCTTATTTCATTACATATTATATGATTTAAGTTTAAAATTTTTTATTTTTAAATTAATTAGGTAGTTTGCTTCTATTCAATAATTTTAACTAGGTAATCTAAAACAATTTAGAATATGCAATAGTTTTTATTTTTTTAACATATTTAGACTCTTTTTTTTTTTTTCTTTTGGTTAGCACATTTAGACTCTAAAAGGTTTTAATTTCGCGGAAATTATAGAATTGGAAATATATTCTCTTCTCTCTCTTTTTCTTAATGTTCCTTTTAAGAGAGTTTAAATAATTGTTTTTATTAGATAACCCAAATATAATCAGAGATTTCTCTCCTGACTTAACCATTCATTGTCAGAGACTTATCAAAGAGATGAAGAACAGAAGTTGTTGGCCAAAGTCAGATTATTTTTTATGTACCAAAAAAGTCAGATTATTTTAGTACTTTTATTTAAAAATAAAAAATTAACAGAGCAGTGGGTCATTAAGTCCTCCTCGATTTGAAGTTTGAATTTGAATTTGTCTTCTTCTTTCACATCACAACTCGGTAATAATTTATGTAATGTGAAAGTATATATAATTTGTATATTATTAATTTTTTTTATTTAATAAGATATAAATTAATATTTTTTACTTAA